TTTTTTTTTGGTTTTTCTCCGGTACCGGGAACCGAACTCACGACCTTGCGCTTGCCAGGCAGGCGCTTTGCCGCTGAGCTAAATCCCCAGCCCCTACTTTACTATATTTCAATATTTTCTTTTATTTACAACATATATCCCAAATAGACCAGATGGGCTGGGTTTGACCAGCACAGCGAGTGAGCAGCAGGAGCTTGCCTTACAATGAGGCGGTACCCACTCAAGCTAAAGGAAACAGCCACTACTTGATTCAATCTGGCTTTTTTTTGACATCTCAGGAAAAAAAAATCCCAGTTTGGGCAGATCTGATTTCTCCCCAGCAAAGACCCTAAATACAGATTTTTCAAACTGCCTACAATCACCTGATTGGTATGTGTTACAATGAACTCGCCGAGCTGACTGGCACTTTGGGGACCAAATATACAGGCTTGTGACCGCTATTTTATTTCCTTGCAGCTGTGGTTCCCAGCCTCTCAGACCTTTGACCCAGAGCCGACGTTAAGTATCCCACAAGCCTGTCCATACCAGCCACTGTGGCCTTGGGCGAGTCACTTCCCTGTCCTGACCTATCAGTTGATTAAAAGTTTGGCCCATCCCTGGCCAGGATCATCTTCAGCCCCACCAGCTAGATTCTCAGGCCCTGGCCTGGGAGCTGCACACACGGAGCTCCTCTGAGATGAGGTAGGGACTCAGACACGAACAGGGCACAAACCCAGATCCAGCCCTCAGCCCATGTAACTCCTGCCTACTCCCATCTATCTGACCTACCTCTTAACAAAAAGCTCTCTGGCATGTATCACCCTCACCCTATCACGGATCTCTCTGTAGAGCCACAGGACTCACTCTTCAAACACTCAGGGCAAGCCAGTAGCACCCAAGTTAGTGCCGACAGAGACATGTTGGACTGCCCAAGCCAGCACAGGAAATCAGATCTGGACTCCGTGCCACCACCCCTACCCCCACCACTGCCACCAGCCCGCTGGAAGGAAACCAGTTCAGATGTAGGATTCTCAGAGGGGCGGGACTGCTCTGACACATCCATTGCTGAGCATGGCTATTTTGCTGTCATTATTATCGCTGATTAGACAAATATTAACTGTCACCAGTAGCTGGCCATCACAGGCAGGCCTTTGTGCCAGGCTTTGATCTGCATGTATTATCTCAGTTAATTTCCTTCCCAAACCAACGAGGTGGGTTTTATTTTGCAGAGGAAGAAACCTAAGCATTGGGATTCACTTGCCCAAAGGCACGAGTCTAGTAAGAAGAAGGGCAGAGGCTCACATGGTACATGATTACAAGCCTGAGCTCCCAGCCCCGCTGCTTTATACAGCGCTTGTGTCTGCCAACCATGGAGCCAGGAGTCTGCATGCACCGTTTCCCCTCGTGAGCATCACCAGCAGCTTTTCACCCCAGGAACGCAGCACACTGGCTCCACAGAAGGCGGACTTTTCTTTCTTTTCTTTCTTTCTTTCTAAATTTTTTTTTTCAGTAATGTGGACTGAACCCAGGGTCTTCACACAGATCTATACTCCAGCCTATTTTATTTTATTCTATTTGAGTCTAGTCTCTCCTATCCTATCTTATCCTATCCTATC